AGCTTAAGAACCTCCTTCATGTTGAGCCTTGGCGGCTGCCCGTGCTTCCTAATCAGCCTCCTGTTTTTCTTTGCTGGGTGCAGGCATCTGCAGATGCAGACACGGGTTCTTTGGCTGAACTACTGATTCTCCATTGTAACAGCCTCAGCCTCTCTGCCACTCCCCTCTCCAGTCGTTCCTCAGCAGGAGGCCTGCTGCTGCTCAGACCTCCCTCCTTCCTCAGAACTACCTGCCAGGTGTAAATGAGCTGCCGGCTCTGCTTAGAGCTCCTCCCGTTCTCTGCTTGCTGCTTTTCCACCCTTCAGTGCTGGTCTAGCCCTCTCTCCTAGCAGTGTGATTGGCTCCCAGGGGCAGAGGGCGGTGCTTCTTCCTTGAGACTGTTAGCCTTGCAGAGATGTTCTTGGTACCCTCAAGTTCATCACGGATGAGGACTCCTTGTTCTTTTGCTGTTCTTGCTGCTGCTCAGCAGTCAGCTCCTTGCTAGTTAATAGCTGTTTCTTAGTAAGGATTGCTGAAGGTAGTTGGACTCAGTTTAAAACTGTTGGAGGAAGATTTTTCTGGATCAGTTTTTAACCTGAGATACTAAATCTTTTTTGGAAACTAGTTGGGTTCTTTTCTAGGAACATTATTGTGTGTGGATGTGATCTTTGAAGATTAGGGAACTGAACAGGTAACTGCTAACCTGTAAGTTTATGATGCCTATCATGTTCTTTTGGGGGGGTTGAGAACCCAGGTGCACTTTACCACTGACCTAAATCCCCAGCCCTTTTTATTTTTCTTTTAAGTCACGGTCTAGCTGAGTTGCTGAGGCTAGCCTCAAATTTATGATCCTCCTAACTGAGCCTCCAAGTTGCTGAAATTACAGGTGTGTACCATGGGGATGTAGCTCAGGGGTAAAGCACCCTTGGGTTCAATTCCCAGTATAAAATTAAATAAATAAAGAATGCCATGTATATAGCTACCTCTTAGCAAGTACTATTTGTCATCAAGCTCATTTTACATAGATCCACAAGCCAAGAGGTCGTCTCTAAAAGCTTTATTTCTTCAGTTGGTGGCATCAAAATAATAGGGCTTTTTCCCCCCAGATGTCAGTGATAAGATTATGCTGTTCTAACGTTTTAAACTACATATAGACACAACCCACTGTTCCTTGAGCTGCTTCAAGGGGGACACCCCCTAGTTGATGGCATCCCCTTTCCTGTTGCAGTGAACAAGCTCTTGGAGGGGGAGGCTTCTCCCCAAACTTTTTTCTGAATGGGCTTGGATTAAACAGCCTTCCCCTTTCTAGTATCACTTAAGCGTTTCATTTTACTACTTTCGTTGTGATATCCTAGAAAAAGAAACATCTGTAGATAGGATATAATTTATGCCATTTTTAAAAGTAATGAAATGGGCCGGGATCAGTGGTGACTGCTGTGATCCGTAGCAGCTTGGGAGGCTAAGGCAGGAGGATCACAAGTCCAAAGCTAGCCTCAGTCATTTATCAAGACTGTTTCCAAAATAAAAAGGGCTGGGGATGTGGCTTAGTGGTGAAGTGCCCCTGGGTTCAATCCCTGGTACCAAAAAAAAAAGTAATGAAAAAAATATTGTATTGAAAGCATCTCTTACATCTGCTCTGATTGGATTTCAGTCTTTATGTTGAAGGCCTTAGCTTCTCTTTTAATTTCTCTTTTTGTGTCTGTTTTTCTAATTGGTGCACATTCCTCCTTGTTCATTTTTTAAGCACCTCTAAAGCTTCTGTTGATGATGGTCATGGCTGTTTCAGAGGCAGAAACCCAACTCTGAAATCAGAAATTGTCAGAGTTCAAGTCTATAAGAAAAGTTGGCTCCATTCAAGTGTATAAAGAAAGGCATTTGAGATGGCCCAGGAAGTTGGCAGGGGACATTTGTCCTTCCAGAGATAAGATGTATTATAAAGTTGCTGTAATAAGATAATGGTGGTGACAGAGATAAGTGGAACAATAGTAAAATAAAGTTGAGAACCTTGGATTATGTCCACATACGGAGGGACATGTGATTTGTGTCAGATAGGAAAATAATATTGTTCAGTACATGGCGCTGGAGAAATGATTATCTAGAGTCTTACTCATCAAACTTGAGGATCAATTTGCAGATGGATCAGGAATTTTAAATGTCAGAGCAAGAATTCTTTAACATTTATATATATAAAGAAAACATGCAACTGTGCAGTAGGACAGAACTTTCTTAACCATAAAAGTATAAGCTATATAAGAAAATGCTGGTAAATTCAGCATTATCATTATCTTTTTTTATTTTTTGTAGATGAACACATTGATTTTTATGTGGTGCTGAGGATTGAACCCAGGGCCTCACACATGCTAGGCGAGCGCTCTACTTCTGAGCCTCAGCCCCAGCCCAACATCATTATTATCTTTGTTTGTCAGAGGACAGCTTAAAGGGCTGGGGACTGATCTCAGTGGTAGGGGACTTTCCTAGCATATATGAGGCCCTGGGTTCCATCCCTAGCTCCTGGGCAGGGTTATAGGGAAAGACACCTTAAAGAACATAAGTAGATGAGCCAAGGAGGAAAATATCTGTAACTTTTATAATCAATAAATATCGAGGTGCAGGGGCACATGTAATCCCAGCAACTCGGGAGGCTGAGGCAGGAGGATCACAAGTTTGAAGCCATCCTTAGCAATTTGGAGAGACCCAGGCTCAAAAAAGAACTGGAAATAATAGCTCAGTGGTAAAGCAGCCCGAGTTAGTTCCCAGTACCCAAATACAACTACCGCTGATGATCACAATAGTGAGTATTCAGAATACTGAACCCTTTCTAAGTTAAACAGGCTTCCTACTACTATTCTGTAGCCTAATATCTGTAGTCTCTGGCTTTTAGAATTATCTGGAGGCTCCAAACCCTATCTGAAGTTAATTGGTCCTGCAAATTTAAAATGTGCCATAAAGGTTTCCGAGTTACTAAGGCTCCATGATGTTGGGCAGTCATCTGTAAAATTGACTTCCACTCAGAACTTCAACATCAAGCCACTTCTTTTAGGGAAACCTAACGGAAAGATGTGATTCTCTAGAATTGTTGTTTCCATAATCTTTAATATTTCCCTCAGAATGTTGAAATACGCAAGTCCACATACTTCTTATATCAAAGTACAATTGGAAACAATGCTAGCATCTAACAAGTGATAGTCGCCAGCTACAGCTCCGTGTGTGGCGTCCTTGCTGTGTGGCCTCTCGGGCCGGCTGTGGGTTTTCTTAACACCATTCAGGTTTCTGGTGCATGGGAAGGGGTGCTTTTTCCCTCCTTCTCTCTTAGTTGGAAACAAATTGTAGCAATGAAAAAACATTTAATGTGTTTCTGTCTGTTTTGTTTTTTTCCTTCTAAAAACAAACTTTAAAAAAAAAATGAACTCCTTATTAAAAGAGCAAATAGGCTGGGGCTATAGCTTGCTGGGAGATTGCAGGAGCCCTGGATGCAGTCCCCAGAAAGAAAGGAAAGATGGACAGGGCGGGAAGGGTGGAAGGAAACTCCAGAGGAAAAGAATGAACAGCAGACCCCACCCCCCCCCAGCTTCCCACCTGACCCCGCAGTAGAGCCGAATCTGCTGTTGGTGGCCTGGTGTCGCAGCTCTTACAGGGTTCCGACGAAACCCTGAAGGCCAGAGCCAGATCTTTCGAAACCCTGAAGGCCAGAGCCAGATCTTTTGATACTTGTTGGTCACAGTTTCATGCGCTCATTTCTCTCTCTCCATTTTGGAGATAAAATAATCGGACGGAGAGTTATGATAGAAGTGGCTAAAAGTGGGTAGGACAATCCTGAGGGATGCCAGCGCAGGAAAGTGCTTTTGTAAAGTCACGTGTTCTGGGGGCCCAGGCTGTGACTGTGGAAGAGCATCTGTGTACACTGCTCGCGTGGTGATGCCGTGTAGTTTTCATGTGCGAATCCTGGGAATAAATCCCCAGAGCTTTGTTCTCCTGTTAAGCAAGAGATCTGTGCAGTCCCTAGTGAATTCTCCAGGAATTAAGTCTAGTGGGACTCCCTTGGTCCAGGATTTTCTGTGGTAGAGTTGTTGGAAAGTGCTGGGGGAACAGGGGACTGCTCCTGACCAGAAGGGACCAGGAGTCGACTTCATAAGCAGTCACCCTGAGCCAGGCTGACACACTTTTTGATCATCAAATGATTTTCTTCAGTTTTTCCAGATGGTGGTATCAGATCTTTCTTCTTGTTGTATTGGTCCCAGGGATGTTTGACCACTGAGCCACACCTCAGCCCTTTTTCTTTTTTATATTGAGACAGGGTCTGCCAAGTTGCTGAGGCTGGCCTTGAACTTGAGATCCTCCTGCCTCAGCCCCCAGTCTCTGGGATTAGAGTTGTGCGCCACCACCATGCCCAGCTACATTTTATTCCTCTTAGCAGAGAGCTGGATTATCTGGTTCTCTCTTCATTGAGAACTTTTAAACTGTAAGTTAGTAAGTTTATGGGTGCACGGTTCTCATCAGCCCGTTCTCTGTCATGGTGTCCGCCTTTGCACCTGTGAGGTGTGTGACACCTGGGCAGGTTTTGCTTCTGTGGTTGCCACCAGTGACAGAAGCACAGTTGATGATAGCGCTCTGGCGCTCTGTCCAGGGTCGATCTCACACCTTTCTCATATGGCCGCCTTCTTATCCAGCCTGCGGTGACAGAGCTATCCAAAAAGGTGTGTGTAATTCCCACCTCCCCGAGAGGCAGCCCAAGCCCTTACAGCCCAGAAGATGTGATAATTAAACTTCAGAGTCGTCTTCATCTGTTTACCTGGGGAGGCTTTGTTTCCAAATTGAAATGTTTCTACAAATTAATTTCGGTACTTGTAATTGAAGACGCTGGTGCCACGTACTCAGATACGCTTTGCTTGCCCGTCGGCTTGGCCTGCTATAGAGGGCGCAGCCCGGGTCAGATGGCACCAACGATGAATTTTGATTAGTAGTATTTTTCACGTAGCCTGGTTTCTCCCACCTGATAGAAGTTGCTGCATTTTTCCAAACAGGTTCTCTAATGATCTTGCTTCACCATGGCTACAAATATGGAGGGGCTGGTTCAGCACAGAGTGGGGACCCAGCAGGTGGCTGAGGTGAGTGACGGGGACTAGCACCATAGCTGGTACCCTTGCTGTTGAAAGGAAAGAAAAAATCGGTGTGCTCTGTTATTTCAAAATGGTCCCAAGGACATGGTCACGTGATCCAAATCCAGAGCAGGATGCTGTGGAAGAAAGTGTTAAGATGGCGTAGCGTAGCATTTGTCTGCTTGAACAGGACAGCTGCATACACATTACAGTGACTTGAAAGTTTGCCGCAAGCCCCAAAGAGTCTGACTCTTACCAGACTCGTGGGCATAGTTGTAACTCAAAGGCTTGGCCTTCCTGTCTCACGCCTAACACTTGGTCAATACTACCAAATGGTGGAGGCCTGGGCATTCAGCAGTAATTGGCCATCTGCCATTGTCCTAAGTGCTGAGAAACATGGAGGAGAACGAGTCAGAGTTCTTCCTTCAGTGTTCACGAGGCCTGGTTATGGAGTGACTGTAAACAGGGATTGAGAAATGTCACTCCACGGGAGGTCGGTGAGCCTGGAGGTGGGTCTTGAATGACAAGCAAGCACTGGACACACAGACCCGAGTGAGTGAGGTGGAGAATTTTGTGCCAGATTCTAGGAAGAAACTTAAGTCAAACATTTATGTAAAGGAGCTGAGGCATCAGCTTGGTATGTGGGGGCAGCTTGTGGTGTAAACGAGGTAATCCAGGCCAGACCTTGAAAAGCCGAGTTAATCTGTCATCATTCATAACACAGCGTGTGTCCACTGTACCAGATCTTCTTCTCACAATGACCTTTTGAGATTGGTACTATTATTCTTGTCCTCATAGGTGAGAAAACCAAGGCTCAAAGACATGTAGTTGGCCAAGGGCACGCTGTCGCCCAGCAGAGATTCTAACCCAGGTCTGTGCATGTTTTTCAAAGCTCCTTCAGTTAACCATGGGTTATGGTAACCAAGAGCCATGGGAAGGATTCAGGTTTGCATTTGATTAGTTTCTAAGGCAGACACAGATTTACCAAGGAACAAACAAAGGATTGTTTTTAAACGAAAACTAAGCACATACATGCTAATTTAAACCAATAAAAATAGCAGATTTTTCAGAATTTTAGATCCATCCTTAAGTTTAAGGCAACAGTATATGTAGTTACACCCCCTCCTCCAGCAAATGCAGGTTAGTGTTAACTGAAGATGAAAGAAAATAGTTCAAAAAAAAAAAATTTCATATAATATTTTGGAAAGGGCCATTAGCAATATGAAAGTATTGATGTTAAACTGCTTGTATTTATGTTGCTTTAATTTATGAATGGACTAATCACCTCAAAAATAGTTGTTTTTTCAAATATTTAGGGTTATTTTATATTTTATAGGGCTCCTCATTGAGGCTGATTTGGAGACTAGTATATGGATTGCTGCTCTAAAAGGCTATCAGTTCTTTGAGAGAAGTTAAAATAGGTAAATACGTTCTGAATTATACGTTCAAACAATTTGCTAGCTAAAATTTTCTGCCAAATGCCTGATTTCCTTCAAACAATGCAAATTCATGTGTTAACTTGGTGCAATTGTTTGTCATGGCAAAACATGCATTTTTTGGAGTTAAAGGAATAGGGTGGGGCACAGTGGTGCACACCTATAATCCCAGCAGTTCTGGAGGTTGAGATGGGAGGATCCCAAGTTCAAGGCCAGCCCTGGCAATTTAGTGAGGCTCTGAGCAACACGGTGAGATTCTGTCTCAAAATACAAAAATGAAAAAGGACTGGAGATGCAACTCAGTGGTTCAAGTACCCCTCCCCTGGGTTTGTTCCCCATTACTAAAAATAAATAAAAAAGTTATCGTTCATTTTGCATGCAAGAACAATCTTCCCACTTAAACCATTCCCCATCGTTATTATTTTTAAGGGGTAAGTATGTGTGTTGTTGGAAATTTTGAGCTTAATGAACTTAAGCTGCATATAATCAGATTCGTGAAGTGAGCAGGAGATCCTTGAGTTGACCATCTCAACGCTAGACAGTATTGGGGGGCGAGTAAAGTATCCATGTTGAAGAGTTCTGAACAGTCAGTGTGCGGTGGCTCATTTGGTCAGTGAACCATGAAGGAGCAGGTGCCTCTCTCCCATAGGTGCAGGGTGCGGGGAGGCCCGGAGTGAGTACTGGCGGATGACAGGACGGGCTACTCCCCAGGAATTCCCTGTTGAGGGGCTGTGCATGAGATGGGCCACAGAGGAGTAAGTAGAAAGGGTTCCCCCACGTGGAGCGGTGGGCCCCGAGATCAGGCAGGCGGGTGGAGTCCAGGCCCTGTCACCTGCTGGGTGGGTGATGTTGTGCCTTGGTTCCTGAGCTGGAAAGTGAGAGTGATAGTAGTACCTACCTGTCCTTTAGGATTGGTGTGAGGATTCAATAAGGTAATGTGTAAAGAGCTTTTGGAAGTGCCAATAATAATGTTTAAAGACTTGTACGTGAGGTAAGAGAGGTTTAGTAAGCTTTAACAGACTTTTTAAAATTATGCACTTGGTTGTTGTGTTTTTGTTATTTTCTTTAAAGTTATGCTCTTTGTTTTGAGATGGGGTCTCACTGTGTTGTCCTGGCTGGCCTCAAACTCTTGGGCTCAGGCGATCCTCCTGCCGAACAGGTAGCTGCGAGCACAGGCGTGTGTCACCCTGCCCAGCAGTGGCATGCCTTTCCTGCAGCGGTGGGTGGTTATGTAAATGACTTTCTCTAGAGTCCCCGGATTAACTTTCTAGAACAGGAAGTTGGATGGTACAAAACAACCGCTTGATGTCTGCTGTCAAAACGATTCAGTTACTCAGAGCTTAGCATAGTGGTCAGGAGTGGGGACTGCAGCCAGGTTGCCTGATCTCAGGGCTGGCCCTGAGCCTTTTCATTTCTGTGGGGTCGGTAGTAATGTCTCTGCTTCCCTCGAGACGGTGGGAGTTGGAGTCTCCTCCCTAGTTTGCTCAGTCTAGCTGGAAGTTTTTCAGTGTTGACTTGTTGATCTTCTCAAAGGACCAAAGCTTTTGGATTTGTTAATTTTTTTCCCTATCACTTTTCTATTCTTTATTTGATTAATTTTCACTCCAAGCCACAATAAGTACCATTTAACATTCATTAGATTGGTTAGAATTAATGAATTAGTGTCCGCGAGGATGCAGAGAGATTGGGAACCTTCCTCTGCTGGCTGCAGTGTAACCCCAATGCCCGTCAGCTACGGAACTTCATTAGTTGACAGATAAGAATTGGCAGCGGATGCAGTGAGACCTTGAGTCGTATCGAATTTTGCTTTTCATTTATGAAAGAAATGATTCTTTTTCTAAAGATGCTGCAGTACTTTTTAAACATTTAAGGTTTCTCTCGGTGACTAGAAATGTAAACAAACGCCTGCACACATGTAAATACACAGGTGCTGTCCCACAGGGTCACCTGCACAGGAGCACTTCTCAGCTCTAAGATATTTTGAATTAGGAGCTTTGGAGTTCACTTGCTGAAGCACTTTGAACGTCTATGAGCAGGAGGACTTAAGTCACTCATACAGCGACCCTGTAAGTGGCATGTGTCTCTGCAGTAGTCACGAGGTGGCTTTATAGATCTGCCCAAGCTTTCCCCTGGTCCCCAGGCCGTCTAAGGGGCTCCCAGTGGCCAGACACTCTGAACAGGAAGATCCTGCCTTGGGGGAGAAAGTCAAATCTTACACCTTTATTATCATTTTTACCATGAAGACTCTGACATCTTCACTGCAGAAAACTTAAACTGTCGCTTCCATGTACTGGGGTGTTACACACACAGCTTGCCCAGTGCAGGGACGGGGCCCAAGGGACAGAGCTGCTATGGCTCAGGTTCCAGGTTTCCATGTCCTGCAAGACCCCAGTCAAGCTGAGCAAATTTGATGAATTCTGCCCTCTTACCATGTGGACGGTTTTCATTTTCTTGTTCAAGTAGTGCACATACATGGATCTTAAAGCTCGCTGGCTGGTGTGGAGCACCTCCACACTGCTGTGCACGTCCGCTGCCAGTCACCGCTGTCCGTGGCCAGTACTTCCTTCATCTTCCCAAACTGACTCTGTCCCCATTAAACACCGACTACCCATTCTCCTTTTCCCTGCGCCCTGGCTGCCCACCATTCTTTCTATGCATCTGACGACTCTAGGAATCTCGCCTATTTTGGGAGTGGCTCATATTACTTAGCATAATGTCCAAAAGGTTCGTCTGTGTTGTAGTGTGTGTCAGAATTTCCTTCCTTTTTTAAGGCTGATTAATATTCCATTGGGCCACATTTTTTATATCTCTCCACCCTTCAATAGATATTTAAGTTGCTTTCACCTCTTGGCTACTGTGAGCAGTGCTGCTGTGAACAGCCCCCCCCCCCGCCCCTCACAACCACCATCCTGCTTCCTATGAATGTGACTGCTTTCAAGGAGAGTCACACAGAGCTTGTTATTTTGCGACTGGTTTATTTCATTTAGCTTAATATTCTCAAGGTTTAGGATCTATTCTATTTAATTGATCTCTGTATATGTCCTTTTTATGCTAGAACTAGACTGTTTTGTAGTAAGTTTTGTGATCAGTGAGACATGTCGCTTTGTTCTTGCTTTTCAAGATGATGCCTAGAGGTGCCATCAGAATGTTGGGATATACTTTTGTGTTTCTGAAAAGAAATCATCGGGATTTTGATAGGCATTGCACTGAATCAGTGTGGCTTTGGGTATTTTCAGCATCTTGACAACACTGTGTCTTCCAACTCCATGAACATGGGATAGCTTTCCACTTCATTTATGGCGTCTTTAACCTGTTATAGCAGTGTTTTGTAGTTTTCTGTCTTTTTTTTCCCCTGGGTTGTTATATTTACTTTATTTTCATGTGGTGCTGGGTATGGGACCCAGTGCCTCTCATGTGTGAGGCAAGCGCTCTGCTGCTGAGCTATAACCCCAGCCCTGGGCTTGTTACTTTTCATGCTGTTGTGAATGGAATCATTAATTTCCTCTTCAGATTGTGCAGAGTTAAGAAAGGTGACTGGTGTTTTGTGTGTGGATTTTGTATCCTGCAGCTTTG